AATGTGGCTCCTTGCAGATCTCTACGTGTGCGCCGTGCTCCTGTGCTGCCTGGGCATCCTCAGCGTGCTGCTCTTCACCCTCGCCATCGCGTGGCAGTCTGTGCTCAGCAAGAGGAAACCCAGAGGTAAGAGGGCCGCCATGTCTGGACGGGAGCACACGCAAACCAGAGCCGGGAGGGCGCTGGGCTAGGCACCACCTTGGTTGAAAAAGGCGTCACGAGTCAGAAATTATTTCCCCGCGACTGGAGAGCCGAGTGAGTGCGCTGGGTCCCCCTTGCACTCTGCTAAAGCAGCTGTGACCACTGGTGACAGCCTTTATGTCCTCCTTTTCCTCACACCCCCTCCGTCCTGGTTAAGGCCCTTCCCTCCATCACTCTCCCCGAGGGGCTGTGCATGGCTGAGCCTGGGTTTGATGCGGGCTCTGCCACGTAAGGCCGAGTTTCAGAAACCTTCCTTGAGCATCTAACTTCAGTTTCCTCATCCTGCATGAGATGGGATCGGCACCACCTTCCTTAGACAGAGTGTTGTAGGTTCATAATTTCAGTTCAGTGCCCGGTGCTGGGCTGCCCGGCGGGGTTAGAAAGACCACCCCCTCCCCCACCCAGCCTGCGTGTCCCTTTCCTTGTCGGTGTCCCTGTTCCCTTTCCTTGTCGGGCTGTCCGCAGCCTCCTCCCACTCTGCTGTCTTCCGGTGACTCCCTCTCCCTCTGGCCTGCCTGCTGCCTGCCTGCAGCCCCCTCGCTGAGCCCAGCTTGTCGGGCTGTCCGCAGCCTCCTCCCACTCTGCTGTTTTCCTGGTGACTCCCTCTCCCTCTGGCCTGCCAGCTGCCTGCCTGCAGCCCCCTCGCTGAGCCCGATGTCCCGCTCCAGCAGCTCCTGTAGTTTCCTCTGAGCTACCCTCCTGAGCCCCTTCAGAATTTCTGAAACAGATGAGGATGCTGAGCTCCAGGGGTGATCCGGGGAAGAGCTGGGCTCCCAATTAGACCGCTTTGGTTCAAACGGCGATTCTTCACTTACCAGCTGGTGATTTACCCGCCGTGCCCCACCTTCCCCACCTAAGTAATGGGCAAACAGTAGCATAACTGTCAGGACGGCTTCCGGATTCGGGTAAAAACAAACAAAAGCCCTTAGCACCCCTGGCTCCGTGTGAGTGTCCTGTGTTTGTGATGGCCTATAGCTGCAGTTATACTTAGTTACTGGTGGTCTAGGTCATGAGGTTGGGAGGTGTTAGATTTGGAGGTCACCGCTGAAAGGCGCACTCTAAGAGGGAGGCTAAGCAGCATTTCCCGGGGGGACTCTCCTGAGAGGGGCAAGCAGGGCTGAGGGGACCCGGGGGGAGGCAGGCACCGACCAGCACCTGTGGGAACCCATTTTCACCCCAGACCTTAGGGGGCAAGGGGAGGAGAGGTTCCTGGAACTTGCAGTAACTGCGACTGACTGTGGGAGAAGTGTCATCAGCAGGAGCCTCAGAAGAGGGACTCGGCCGCACGGACCAGGAGGCAGCAGGGCAGCAGGAGCATCCTCCTCCGCCGCCCTCCCTGTTCCGCTCCTGCAGATGCCCTGGTCCCGCCAACCCGAACCCACAGGGCAGGGCCTGGCAGGCGTCCCGGGCTGGGCAGGGTTGAGGAGGGGGACAGGGTCCCTGTCAGGGTGCTGACACTCCCAACACGCGGAGCACTGCAGGGGGAGTGAGGGCTGGAGCCAGAGCCTCCTCCCGGCCAGAGCCCTTCCCGGGCGCTGTGTGCACGGGCTCCGAGAACCTCCTCGTGGCATCTGCCCATGTCATCAGCAGGTCCCGAGCTCCCACCCGCTCTAACCCTGGACCCTCCTGGGAGCTCGTGGCCTGTGAGCACCGCCTGCCCTTCGGGAGCACAGTGTGCGAGGCCGGGCCGGGCGTCTCTGCTCTCCTGGCACTTGGCTCCTGGCAGCTGCTCAGCAAAAGCGGGACAAGTGGGCCTGTGGTCCAGCTGCTGGGCTCCCAGCTGCGCGAGTTTGGAAGCCACAGAGGCAGCCCAAGTCTGCTGTGCTCGAGGACACCTCCGCCTGCTCTCAGGGCACTAGAGAGTCGGCCCCGAGTCCCAGGCTGTTAGTTGCAGGCAGGATGAGGGAAGCAGAGCAAGGTTGTCAGCTCCAGGGACTCCTCCTCCAGGCCAGCAGGGGCAGGCTACCGCAGAGCCGCTGAGAGCCAGGCCCCGAGCTGCCTCCTCCGTCCCCCACTGGAGTGGCTCCAGATGGTGGCGGTGCCGCTGGGCACAGTGTCCAAAAGCCTACTGAGCTGTAGAGACCGTTGCCTGGGCATCCGCGGGCCAGCCCCCCGTCGCTCCTCCCGATTCCCAGGTAATCCTCACCACCAGTCCGTGCCCGATCGCTCCCATTGGACAGACAGCCGAGGAGTTTGATCAAGTCATGGAACAGGGAGTGCCCCAGCCCCAGCCCCGCTGCTCCCCAGCCTCCCACATTTCTATTCAGAAATGCCTCAGCCATCTGGGGCTCACCTGCCCAGGTGTTCTCCTTCAGCCTTCGTGGCGGCTGGGCTGAGGTCCTTCCCTAATAGCACTTCGCAGCTCCTGCAGCTCCTCAGGACTCGGCTTTGGTTTGGTGCCGCTGCCGCCAGCAGGCTGGCATCCTGTCGCCCAGGCTGGCATTAGGAGCCAGGCCCTAGGTCCCAGCCCATAGTGGGATCATAGACAGGACCTTGTCCGGGACCCTGTGAGCCCCCACCCAGGCCCCTCAGAGCAGCATGGCCCCAGCCCTCAGGGGCAGGCCATCCGCCTGGGCACCTGCTCCAATGCAGGTCCTGACTCAGAGCCTCTGGGCAGGCCCGGGAGTCTGCATCTCTCACGGGGCCGCAGGTGGCACCACCGCTGCTGGCAGGAGGCCACATGCAGCAGCGAGAACTCAGAGCCGGGTCTTCTTACCTCTACGCCACCCAGCTCCCCTTTGCAGCAAATATATGGAGATAATCCCATTGCTATTTTGAAGTGAAATTCACAGACAAAATATGCTGCCCGTAGCCACAAAAACCAATTTGATGCTCTAACTATCATATAAGGAGAAATAAAGCAAATGTAATTTATAGCACAATAAAACAGACTTTAGTATTGCACCTCTTCCTTTGAATGTTTGCATTTTAGAGAAGGCAATATTTCTTTATGAAATCATTTTACATATGCATGTACATATTTACATATATTATGTTTACATGTAGTATGCATACATGATATACGCATGTTGAGTGTCTATACAGTCATGTGCTGCATCATGATGTTTTTATCAACAACAGACCACATATATGATGATGGTCCCATAAGATTATAATGGAGCTGAAAACTTCTTTTCACCTAGTGACATCATAGCTGTTGTGATGTTGTAGCAACACTTCATCCACGTGTCTGTGGTGATGCTGGTGTAGCAAACCCACTGTGCTCCAGTCCCCTGGAAGTATAGCACATATGCAGTGCATACACTCGGTAATGACAGTACATGACTGTGTTAGTGGTTTACGCATTCACTATACCCCACCTATTACCGTCATTTTAGAGCGCACGCCAGCTTACCAAGTCTGCTGTGAAACAGTGTGGTATCACGCGGCAGCAGCCTCGTCCATCTCATGTTTAACGCGTCTTCTGATTGCGCTTGTGGTGCTGGATAAAGGCAGGGTAGCCTGCGTGTACAGGGTGTGTGAAGTCTGCAGCAGTGGGCAGTCATGACCTGGCCTCGGCACTCGCCCTCATTCGCTGACTCACGCAGAGCAGCGCCCAGGCCTGCCAGCTCCGTTCACGGTGAGTGCCCTACACGGTGTCCCACTTTACCTTGTACACCATATTCTCCTGTGCCTCCTCCAGGCTTAGATACAGAAGCATTCACTGCTGTGTTACAGTGGCCTACGGTATTCAGTACCGTGACATGCTGTCCAGGTTTGTAGCCCCGGAGCCATAGGCTATAGGCTGGGTGTGGAGTAGGCTGGGCCATCTAGATTTGCTAAGTCACTATGATGTTCGCACAAGGATGAAATTGCCTAATGACACATTTCTTAGAATACAACCCTGTTGTTAAGCAACACATGACTGTGCATTACATTTATATTACATTATATCTGCATGCATTGTATTTACATATATATATATATTTGTATTTGAAATAAAGGCTAAATAAGGCTATATACACTGAGTGGCCAGATTATTCTGACCACCTGATGTTTGTAGGCAAATTAGCTATAATTTCGCACTGAAGTTGCTAGAGGGCCAGACCATTATAAATAGGGAAGCAGGTTGTTTACGACAGTAGAA